CTCTCTCTCTCTCTCTCTCTATATATATATATATATATATATATATATATGGGGTTGTTCTCAAATACAACCCACCCCAATTGCTATAAACTTTACAAAAAGGGCATCTTTGTCATTTTAATTGTCCTTCTTAAATATCTAATTCATTTTTCATATATAAGGTTGGGTTCCGATAAGAATGAAAGTTATTACGAAAAGCAATAAGGAGGGATTTTCACCCTTGGGTCAATCTTAATGTCCCTCAACTAATGACATCTTAACTAACGATGCTAGGGCAAATAAACACTTTTATAACAAAATACAAACTGCATCTGAAGTGCAATTTAGTTGGCAAATTGGTGGAATAACTTTGTCCAAATGTAAAATAGGTCATGAGTTCGGTCTCGTACCCTTTGTTAGTCTCAGGCTCTCAGCCGCTGAGTGAGTCAAAAAATTCTCCATTATGATCTTTGGAGGTGGGTTTCGTGAGGGACCAATTGAAGTCGCTGGTTATCAATTTTTTTCGCGAATAACAAAATACAAACCGTAGCAACCATTTATCTATTTATAAAAATTTAGGGACTATATTTGTAATTTTATGTAAACTAAAAGGACTAGGAATCTAATTTATAAATTAATAAATACCATTAACTCTAATATAAATATATTTTGTGCCCAAAACAGCGGTGAATTTAGATTCCAAATGGTTGAAGGTTAACCTCCATTTTTCCTCCATTAAAGTACGAGGTATCGCATCGATTTCACCCCCTCTTTCCGTTCCTCCTTTATACACAGACCGCCTCTTTCTTCTTCTTCTTCTTCTTCTTCTTCTTCTTCATTTTTCTATGTGCATGTAGTTGCAGACATGAACAGGGCAACGAAGATAGCCCTAGATAACTTAAACAACTCCCCCTTTCACCTCAGAACCGCTCTCTTTCATTCAACTCCTGTCCTCGATCGTCGACGACGCACTCACTGGGAGTCTGTAAGCTCATCTCTTTTCCCTTTCTTTAATTTGTCTGAATCAATTTATTCTAGAAGGGTTAGCGTGTTTTGTGGAATAGTTTGCGATTTTGGGAGTCGACTAATTAGGGAATTGAATGTGACTTGGGGAATAAGTAATTTGATTAAAGAAATTGCAAACAAACTAATCTTGCGATGCCTAAATAAGTATAGAGCAAATGTACAATTGTGGAGTTCATGGAATTATAAATATTTTATGAACCAATCTGAGGCCAACTGCTTATGGGATTGAGTTGTAAGTTTGGAATTTCTTTCAAAATGCTCATTAGCATGCCTTTTAGCATTCCTATTTATTTATGTGAATTGTGTTAATTAAATTGCAGAGAGCAAGGAAATAACAATTGGGAGGAATGCTACATCTTATTCATCAAAAGTGGGCTCTTAAATAGCCACAGGAAATACAACGACTTGAACTGAAAAGCTAAAAAACTGGAAATAACAAACTCCTAAGGACTGCCCTATAGACCAGGACTTCATTAAGTAACGTGCATATTATGCACGTGATCAAATAAACCTACAAATTGCTCCATTAGCATGAATTTTGTCAAGAAAGAAAAAGGTTAAAAGAAAAAAATTACAAGTTTTTGAGACCCCACATAGAAATGAAGAACATCAAGTGAACTCGACTTGAAATTATATGAAACACTTAGCCAGATTGTTATGGGTTTATTTTATTGTGATCAGCATTGTAAAGTTGAATTAATCGAGTTATTTAATTGTCGCCTATTTCTTTGTCCAATTTGAGCAGGCTGGAAGTTTCTACAGGAGTTCCTCAAGGGTGAGAAGTTTGTACATAACCTTTTCTTTTCATGGACTTCAGTAGTCATCTGTTTAAGCCTTTCGTGCTGATTGTTTCAGTTCATACATTGTTTTTGTGCAGTTATTTGAGATATTTAGCATGTCAACACTGCACTAAAGTTTTTTCACTTAATATCGTTTGATAGTTAAAGTTTGTTCTTATGTGTTCTATTCGCATGAGCGTGAGATCTGTATTTATAGTTAAAGCTTGCTATCCAACTTCATTAATTGATTACCAATGGTTATCATTTCCCTCATCTCTTTTATTTTTGTTGTAGGCTTCTTTTTTTCATTTTTTTTTGTAAAACTGCCTGGTAGAATGAACATCTTCATTGAATGGATAGATATTTTTTTTATCTAAGTTTATGTGAAATATTTAAAGTTTGTTAAGGTGCAAGATTTCTTTCACTTTGGACAATTTGTCTTGCGACAGTTCGTATTTGCTTTTACAATAATCGATTAGGTGGGTAGTTAGTAGAACTTGCAAAACATAGTTATTGATAATATATTTACCTTGTCGTTTCTGCTTAATGAAAGGAAAATTTCAAATAAGCTACACAAATATTACTTCCATTATCCATAACCTTTGCCATCTATTGACTTTAGCACAAAGCACTTGCTTGTAAATCATAAAATTCTTTCTTTGATGTTGGAATCGATTATTGCTGCTTCCTGGTATTTGCAGAGACCCAATTTCAATTCAAGAAGACAAAGAAAGTTTTATGCTAAACAAGAGTTGCTGAGGAATGCTAATGCCTTCACAGAAAACCTTTTCCAGGTAAATCCCACAATCCCACATATAAGTATCACTGTTTAGTTGGTCTAGCCGTTTTTCTGGGAAAAAGGGGACGGAACCCTTGGAAAACTTTATTCAAAATTTTACACCAACATCGAGTAAAATATGAGCTTCTAGGATGTTTTCGAGAACAACTTCCATCCTTTACAATGTGGTTGGAGCTCTGAATACTTTCCATTTAATTACATTGATCAACATCAAAACACGGCCACAGCGAAGCCTTTCTTACCCACAACTAGATTCTCTTTTGTGCATTTTTATGATGTGAAGATGAATTCCTTAACTTTGTCTTGTATCTGTTACAAAGCTCATGAAACTCTGTTAATATTCTTATGGATGTCTTTCCAAATGTTTAGGGGTGGCGTGATTTTGATGAATTCGACCCATCTTCAAGTCATGGAAGCTCCTCGTTTAAAGGTTTCAATATGTCTGGGGGTTTCAATGGGAACAGAGCTAGCAAGGGGCCTCGGGCTACAGGCCGCAGAAGTAAGTTTTCTTGCACTGTGAGTAGTGATTTAGTAGAAGAAGTGCATATGCTGCTACTATAAAAAGGATAAGAAATTAAGAACCTGATCATCAGAATCAGTAAGAACATTAGTTGTTGATCTTGATATGAGTATTAGATCGGTTTTTCACTAGTATATTAGAGATTACGATTTCAATTAGGCATCATAAAATACACCCTAAAGACAGACAAATAGAATGAGGTGGATCACAATTGCATTTAGGCATCATATAATTATAGGACAAAATGCATCAAAATGTAATGAAGTTTTCCTTGGTTCCTATTTGTACCAAATTTTGACTGGTAACCAGCTGATCTTGTAACATTTGCTGACGTAGATGTCAAAATTCACTTTGCCGTTACCCTTTTGTAAACGAGTATCCACGTCATCAAGTGTTACAAGATCAGCAGGTTTTCGGCCAAAATGGGTGCAAAGTTGTAAGTTTTAGAACTTGGTTAGAACGAGATTTTTTTTCTTTCATTACACTAAATTATACAACATAGCTAAACCAACGGTAGATTTTTTACTGTACCAAGTATTTATTTGATCTGTAGAGCTAAACAAAATATTATGAGTTTTATGTTAAAATATGCTTTCACATCTTCAGAAGGATACCAGTTCCATGAAGATGTTGAAGAAGTAGAAACGATTTTCCGCTCTGCATTTGGTGGAAATGGGTTCTACTTTTGGTCCTTCATAAATGATGAACCACCGAGGAGCTCATCAGGCTTCCATAGTAATCATCGGACCTCACGGAGTTGGAGACACCGGTTGGAAGATGAAGATGAAGATGAAGATGAATTCTCATCTGAGTCAGACAGAGTCGAAACTAATTTAACAAAAGATAGGATGACCCTTGGTTTAAGTGGTTCTGGCCCTTTAAGCCTTGACGATGTTAAAAATGCGTAAGCTTTTTGAGCTTCTCCTTGTTTTTTATAATTATATCGTGAGAATTTAAAACTTTGGTTACTGATCTTTCTGTCATACTCTGGTTTCCAGATACCGAGTATGCGCGCTTAAATGGCATCCAGATCGTCATGAGGGTTCTTCCAAGGTACGATGCATTCTATTTATATCCAAAAAAGGAAACATTTTTGAACCATTTGGCGTCAAGGCGAAGGATCGTGTGAGAAGGATAGATTAAATATAAGCGTAAAAAAGGATCTGGACCCTTGATCACCTTTAATCTCAAACCCACCCATGCGCTTGATACAGGGATTGATCCGGTGCATCTCATCTCGGTGCATCTCATCCTAATGTGCACCCAAGGATGGAGATCCCTTCTTACACTTCTCACCTTAACTCTCCTTCTAAGCGGAACACAACCCGTGGTGTCAAACCTTTTACTCTTCAAATATGAAATTGATATAGATTCTTTACTAACTTATGCTAGGTTCCTTAGGTTAACTATGCGAGTACATTAGATTCTAGTATAATATTCATGATACCATGAAAATGTCGTGTGAAAACACATGGTGTCTCCCACAATCTTTGCCGAAAGGAGCTTGGTTGTGAACCTGCATTTTGGTGCTTAGAAGTTGTGCGTTCACTTAGAAGGTGGGATTATAGGGAAAAAAATTGATTCCTTGAACAAATATTACGCCCGCCTTCCTATAAAATAGTTGACTTTACAAATTCTCTTTGTCTGGTTAAAAATCCCATTTTTATAGCTTATGTTAAGAGAATGAGTTGTCTTGTTGATGCATCTAATCAACAGGGAGCTCCTCCTAAAAATGTGTACACAAGTTCATTCTAAATTGTAAAAGCGGATTTCTTTTGGATCAAGAGTAAGCGGACAAGAGTGTGGTACTTTGTGTGCATAAAAGTCGTACTCTCTTGCAAAACTTTCTTGTAAGTCAGGGGTCTTCAAGGAAACAGCCTATCTAATCTCTACCTTTTGGGGTATAGGAAAGGTCCCTGCTCTGTGTGTGGGACACAGGATCATAATACTTACCCCTTGTGTATATAGAGTCAAATTCATACGAGAATGATACCCTGTTTAATAAAATAAGAAAATGACCGAATCACATGTGATTTTACACTAACATCACATACAAAATCACATGTGATTCATGTGACCTTGCCATGCGACCATAGGGTCGCCCACTCACTTTTTTGGCCGTTAATGTAAAATCACATCTGATTTCGTACGTAATTTGGCCAGCCATTTTCTTATTTTCCTAAATAGGTCCATTCTCGTATGAACCCCCTTGTTCTCTCTCTCTCTCTCTTTATATATGTATATGTATATATATATATATATATATATATATATACTCTTGAAGCGGTGTTGAAACAAAATTAATAAGATGGCGTTGGTGAACAGGCTATTGCTGAGGAGAAATTCAAGGTCTGCAGCGCTGCATATCAATCTTTGTGCGATAAGCTGGCTCTGAATTAAGAAAAACATGCTGTATGATTGATTTAATGTTATTATGTTTGGTTTTTGGATCATCGCTAAATATGAGAGTCGCATAACGTAACATGAGGTTCAGCAGCGGATGATGGTCGTGTCGGTTTTAAGGTCAAAATGTGGTAGCAAGCAGCATTGAAAGGTGGTAGATGCATTAGATTTTGTTATTGTAAGTTATTATTAAGTTGTTTCTGAACCATTAAATGACATGATCTCTTTGCCACAATTAAGACTGGTACATGCAATAAAAAGGATACTATTTATTCGTTTTGGTCGTTTAACATTTGAACTTCGGCCGTGGCCCGTGTTTATTGGATGTAGCAAGTTTATATATAAGAGTCGTTTCCACTAAGAAGGTTAAATATGAAAAGAAAGAGAAAGTTAAAAGAGAGATTCATATTAGAATCATTGAAAAAATCCGAATATTTTTATTTAAAGAAGTATATGTGAATCTACGTTCTAGGATTATTTATATGGGTTAATGTATGCCTCTTCGAATTGATTTTTCAATGATTTTGTATATGAGGTTTCTTCTTATCTTATGATTTTTAGCATTCTTATTTGAAATATATATATATATATATATATATATATATATATATATATGTAGAGGATGTGTGTGTATATATATAGCGAGAAATTTTTTTAGGAAAAATGAAAAACTAAGAAAACCCACTTCATCTGAATGACATGTACATTTGAATTACGATTTTGTAATCCATAACCCTAAACAAAGCAAAAATACATACCATAAAAGTTCTAAACAACACGATTTAAGAGGTGTTTGAGATTGCTTATAAAAACAATTTATTGACTTATTCCGGCGTAATAAACACTTTTAAGTGTTTGGATGAACAACTTATTTGGCATCAATAATAAATAGTTTTTGAAGAAGTTAAACTCTTCTGACTTATAATAAGTTGATAAGTGCTTTTGCAAAAAAACATAAAGTTGTTTCAAATAAGCAATCTCAATCTCAAATAACCCAAATGTCATGTAGCAGACTTGTATGGTTTGATAAACTTTCTTATTTGTATTTTAATAATAGTTTTTAATCAATAATCAAATATTTAAATATTAGTGATAAATTTAAGAAAAATATATCAAATATCAAATAAACTACATAACAAGCAGATAAATTTGGATAAAAAATGTAAGTAAAAAGAGAATTTTGTAACCCAAGATATATTTTTTTTGTTGAAGGAGCAAACCTGTAGATTGTAGCATAGTTCAAGGACCACTTTTGTTGTTGGCTCTTTAAAGTTTGAACATTTTGGATGAAGATGGTTCCAAAACTGGATTTGGGGGAAATTTGCATAAAAAAGGATAAACAAAATCACTACAAGGGATTCAACGCTTCCTCAATTTCCCTTTCCTTCTTCCAAGATTTCGTTAAATTGTATGTGAACAGCTTACAGCTAAGCAGAATAATGCTCAGAAGCATACAATTTCTTGGTTCCTCTTCAGGGTTCTTGTTTCACCGATTAAAACTTCATGGAAGTCAATCTGGGCTCTCTTTTATTTCGATTTCTGCGCCACCGTCTTCAAGAACACCGCTGATAATAACATCAAGCACGGGTCGTTGTTTTCGACAATTTCGAGCATCTTCAATTCGTTCCGAGTCAAACCTAGATGGAACCTCGCCTTCTTCATCTTCAACCTCATCTCCCACTTTTAGATCAACTGTAAGTTTTTCGGAAATTCTTTTGGCATTGTTAAGTCGATTATAAGTTGTTTGATTTTATGAAAATTGCATTTCTTATTGCATATGTAAAGATGAACTCCTGCATTCTAGCAACACACTTTTGGGGGTTGTGTAAGTGGATTGCATGTTTTAAAACTGTTCTTTCTGACGATTTCTTGAATATTGTGGTTCTTATTGCATCATATTTTTATTTGATAATTGTTGATTGATATCTGATCATATTGGGAGTCATCGTATGCATAGACTGGGGGTCTTAATTTATGGTATAAAATCTTGATAAAAGCATAACCAGTTAGGGGTTGTTTACTTATGGCTTAATCAGCTTGATGGTCTGGGCTGCTTATTCGTGCAGCCATACACGAGTGTTTTTTTACGACTTAATTGTCAAGCCATTAAGCCAAAGATGGCTACATGGAATAAGCTAGGATCCCTCACTTGTTACCATTAAGCCACTGCAAACAAACTAATACCATAAATGCCATATAAAGTATTCAATCCTCTCTCTTTTGTCTTCCTCAAACCTATCGGTCTCCCGCCCCTCAGGGACAGACAAAACTTAACCCATACAGGACTTGATGGAAAAGAAAGTAAACTCCCTAGGTTTGATGCCATCTTTTGAATTTCTAAAAAAAGTCAAGCTACTGGATTATATGAAGTGTAGGAAAGATGTATTCAATTATGGCACTTTGTCCGGGTAGGTCACCCCCAAAGGATTCTTGAAAGAAGTCACCTGTTTAACGATCGAGTTCAAATTGCTCGATTGTAGCTAACCCCTGGTCAAGCTTTACTTAAAGCATCCAGATTGTCAATTAGGTCCCTAGGTTTGACATTTATATTTTCATTCTCCTTAGAGTTGAAAGCCGGGGGTCTTGACTGAAACTACTGCTCTATTCTTTGGGGTAGAAATTAGGTCTGCATACATCCCAACCTCCCCATACCCGTTTGGTTATTAGAGTTGAAATAATTATTTGTTTTATACTAGTTAAAATGTAGAACATACAATCAGTTTATAACATCCCGCTCATGACGGTCTACAATCATCCGATAATAAACTTTTCAATCAAATAATCAAACCCCTTTAATGGAAGCTTGTTGCAATCTCACCTAACTAAACCTTGTAAACACTCTTTGAACAAACAATATCTGGCAGGACAAATAAAGAATGAGCTACAAGCGGCTTGTACATGTTTCTTAAAAGCGTCTGTCCACCTTGGAACTTGAAGCAAACCAAACCAAACGAGCCCAGTGTATCCCACTTCGAAGTCAGAAGTAGCACACTTATGGGGGGTGAGATGTACGCAGGCCTTTCATCTACCCCAACTACTTAAGAGATTATGATATTTGAACCAACTTTTGGTTGATATCTCCAAAACAGTCTAAAATCCACGAATAGTACCATCAAGTTTAGAGAAAGCTCAAGTGTGAAAACCATCTAAAATTTTAAAAATGGTGTAATGTTTTGGTGATTGCGCCGCAACATTTCAACCATTGTAACCAAAGTTGCTAGTTTGACCAGAAACTCACATATTAAGCTACAAATTTTCATCATGTATGATCTCCACTTGACTACCAAACTCTTTGATCATCTTCCTTAATTTGAATTTTGACTAAACTCACTAAAATTAGTTTAACATTATTACACAGTTCAACGAGGGTTAGGTGTTCAACTAAACAATGAACAATTGTGCCTCCACCTCTTTCAAACATTTGTGTCAAATTGACTGAAAATAACTGTTTAAGAATAAAGGGTTTATGAGCGTATTGACGTGTGGGTATATATCAATCACCCAAATTTTTTATCTATACTCTTTGCCACTTATTTGTAAAACGTAGCACTGTGCAGGGCAGTACTCGTAAGATCAATTTCTGTCAATTGTGTGGTGGCCCAACAAAGCATGAAATACCCTATGGGGAGGAGAAAGAAAGAGCTATTTGCACCCTTTGTGGAAGAATTGCATACGAGAATCCGAAAATGGTATACACAAACTATGTTCTGTTTTTTGTTACACCCTCCGTCCCAATATAAACACAATAATTTCTCTTACGGGTGTTCCATGTTAATTTCAACTTATCCGTTTTTGGGCAAAATTTCAAGCCAAAGTTACTTCCTTACTATTACTAATCATTAAGTGGACCAAGGCTCTCTGACTTTATTAGGGAAGCCTTTCTATGTGACTATAGCTCTTTGCTTGCATTTTGCAATAAAGCTGTTTCCATAACTTGAACGTTTGACCATGGTGCTTTCTTTTTCACTCTATACTTCATCTAAATCTTAAAAGTGGTGCTTTTCAGGTTGTAGGTTGCTTAATTGAGCACGATAACAAAATCTTGCTATGCAAGCGGAAAATCCAACCATCTTATGGTCTTTGGTACGTATTTCTTATGAATGTGAACATGTATAATGCTTGATTGATTTACAAAACATTCCAAAAGGGTATGTTCGCAAGTGATCTATGAATATATATATATATATATATATATATAT